CACTCGGGTGGTGTTGTCACATAGGGAGCAAAGCACTTTTAGGAAACAGCTCCTTTCAGTCATGCGGAGTTGCTGTAAGAACTTAACTTGCGCTTACTGTGATTTAGTGCTCTTAAAGCTACATCAGTTAAATTTTTGAACCCTTAATTCCACCTCTGAGCATGTTTACCACCTGGAAGACATGTCACATTTTTAAGGACATTTACCCTCCTCTATGTTTTAATATAATAAGAGTACTTGTAGTCCCAGTTTTTATCTCAGTGGTTCCCTGGTGATGAAAAAGGCATCACGCTTCCATTAGCTGAGGGGATGGGTCTCAGTGGTAGCCCATTACTGCTGGGCTTTTCTGCGTCACCATAGCATGAGGAGAGTGAAGCTGAAAACTGCTTTTAACCAGATCAGCAAGACTGAGTATTAGCGTTTCCTCACTTGGCACCAGCCGCTGACATATTTGAACAGCATAAGTGGTTTTACCATGTATCAGGCAAAGAAAGATAACCAAAGCTTTTCTTTTAGAGAGATAGAAAATGTTGTGTAAAGGAAATGTTAACTAGGGTATCATGCCTGTCCACAAGAGAACATCAGTGATTATTGCATAACTACGGTGAATCTAGATGTGTTTTTTTAAAGGAAAGGGAGAAACCCAGTTTAGCTTTTTTAGATTTCAGGTTTCCCAGATATATTTTAGCTTCACTGCTAAAATTTTTGTTTTGCTCCTCCCTTTCTGTTTCTAGATTGTGACTCAAACTCTCACAATATAGGGGAAAAAAGACCATTCCTAGAGAGTTCTTAACATGACTGACTTTATGAAGGAAACAAACAGGTATTCTGCTTTATGATAGTCATCCCAAATACTCCACTGTGGAATGGATGACAATATAACACAGGAAATTTGTGCGGTCTTTTCCGAGCGGATTTCTCAAACTCAGATGATTTCCTGACTGTATTTAACATGTGTGTTTTACAGTTACATTCCCAATAACTGCACTGCGTGCTTGTTATACTGAGTTGGTTTTAGTGATTAGAATTCTAAATTCAGGAAATAAAATTACTACCATTATTGGCACTTCTGTTAATTAAGTGAAATCTCTGGTATTTTCCAAGTTTGCATAAACCTGACTTTGTCCCATTATGAGCTCATTCTCAGATTAAACACAGTTTATGACACTTTAATGTGTTAACTCTGCTTCATGATATTTCCTACTGGTGTTTAACTTCTTCTTTAATAGACCAGAGACTCTATGTCCATACAAGTCTTTAATAAAAAGTTTCAAATTTTAAAGCACTAATGTGACCTTTACTGAAATCAAAAGTACAGAGAAAATTAGGATAATAATTCAAAAATATCCTTTAAGTGAATTTTCCCCCAATAAGTCAGAATTTATTATCTACAAAATTAATACTGTCTCCATCAATGTTCTTACACATTGTTTCAATTATGTTTGAGGCAGAAAAAGGAACCATTTAAATCAGAAATAACATGATTCATACTTTACTGCAGCTGATATGCTGAAATCAGATAATTTCAGATAATGCTGAAAAATAATACCATAAAGTTAAAAAAATACTTCCTGCGGTGGAAAGACTATTTTCTATAGTCCATTCATGGTTACTGGTAAAGAACAGTTTGGTGATTTACTGAAGAAAAAGATAAAGATGTGACGGATTTATGTAAAAAACTATCAAGCATGAAGCTCCTGGTTTTACATCTGACAGAAATCTTCGACATTTTACAAATAGGAAAAATGCCCTGGCACTTGTCCCCTGTGCTGAAGCGCAACGACAAAAAGCCAGTGCGTGTTGAATCCAATGACAGGTTCTCTATTGACATCAGGGAAAGAGGATGAAAAAAGTATCATCACTGTGGGTTTTGCTTTCAGCTGCCTCCACTCTTCACCCAAGATAGCACACGAATGTGAGGCCATAACAGGACGACGGTATTTTTTTCTGTAATTATATAAACTCTATATGCTGTCAATATTAATAGAAAATAATATATTTATTTACTATTTTAGTGCATGCCTAAGGTCCTTTAGCAACACCTAAGGTCTTATTCGATTTTAGAACCTCACCTGATTACAAACACTGCTAAAAGGCAGCACACAGCTCAAATGCCCTCCACCAATAAGCATCATGTTTGCAGTCCCTTATACTGACAATTAGCAAAGTTAACACTGCTGAAACTCGTGCCAGTGCTGTCAGAAACTGAACCAGGGGAAGAGGGATGAGACACTGTTGATGTGGCCACACAGACATGCAGACCTCTAACTGAACTGGCTTGTCTGAGAGCCTTGCAAGCACTGAGGTGCTGCGTTATGCTTGGAGCTGTGCTGGTCACCAGCTCACGCTGCTGCACTGTGCACTGGACACTACCAGGGCTCTTCTATATTCCTCAGTTAAGAGAAGGGAAGTCAATGCCAGCTCAGACTTCCTCAGTACATGTGCCACTCATCTCAGATTTGATCTGGAGATAAGAAGATAGGCAAAAGAAATAATAAGAAGTTGCATTTAATGCTTTTGGAAATGCTTTCTCTGATTAATTATGGTTTTTTCTTTCCTCTCTTTCTTTACCACCTCAAGCCTGTTTGCTGAAGCAAATGATTTGCTTTACTGGAAATGCCTCTGAACGTTCATTTTATCATTTTATCTCATTTGGCAATTCTTAATCCTGCCTTTTTCTCCCCTCTCACATAAAACTCCTGACCATATTAGCTGGTATTAGACTAACCTGAACAGAGAGCCTTGCAATCCATGGACAATGCTGGTTTAAAGAAAATGCATGCAGACACGTTCAATCTAATTTTCTTCCTTTTTAAGTTAACATAACCTTCTCCTAAAGTCCTGACAGAATTCTGCATTCATTCCATATTATCCTACCATAATTTGGCTTGTCATCTAATGTAATATCCCTTTTCAAGACAGACATTAGCTATGATTGGTAGAAAAATGAAGTGGCCTTCACAACTTTGCAAGTTAGCATTATTAGTGGTCTGGAAATAACTAGGGGAACACATTCCCAGGGGTATTATCTGTTCCAGTCATAACTTCAGGGGACAAGACAGACCTACCCCTTGAAATCAGTTGTAAAATTTCCCTTAGCCACAGAATAGACTGGGATTGCAGAGTGGAACCACATGGAGCAGCTTGTGAAAGAAGCAATCCAGCCACAACAGTGTGGGAACTGCAGCTTGCCTGTCCCTCTGAGGCCTGCCCAAGGAGCAGCACTGATCCCCTGCAGGGCCCAGCATCACTCTCCTGGCCAGTAGTGACCAGAGGCAGGTGTCTCTGCATGGTTGAGCCTGGGGCTCTGGAGCTGTTCCTGCTCCTCTTGAGTCCCCGCATCCCACTCTTACATATTGATACAGACCAGCAGAGATTTTTTCCAGTTACCAACCTGTCTCTATGTTTAATGTGTTTCACAAGTAGCTGGATAATTAATCCAGGGTGATACAGACCACAAGGTTAATATCAGCTATTTAGGTTCTGCTATTTATTGCCTCTTCCACATGTAACTGAGCTACATACAGTGAAGCAGTACAATACTCCTGAATGATCATTACTAACACTTTAGCATGACAGTACTAAATGTACACACGTGGTTTCCAATTACTTCATTCAAAGAAATCAATAATGTTGGTGTAGATTACCTCCTGCACTAATTGTACTGCAGAAATACAAATAGACACAGCAACAGCCACCTGAATTAGATGCTGACTCAGTGCCCCAACTGAACAGGGTTCCTTTCTGTAATATCTTCTTTGCTCTGCTCTTCACCTTTCCCATCTCTCACTTTTCCAGAATAAAAAAAAAAAATCTGGGAATTAAGAATGGTCACTTAGCAGTGAAGTTCTTGGCTTAGAATAAATGAGCAATGCATATTATATCACCCTAAGCACAACAAAAAGGTATGCCCCCAAATCCGCTTTCGTTCAGGCTAGTTTCCAAAGTTGGGAATATTCAGCTTCTTGTTCTATCTATTCTCTTTGAGAATACTTGACTTCACCTTTAAACCGCATTCAACCTTGCCCTTTTGATAGTCCCACAATAATGTTATCCTGAATTTTTACTTTCATTGTAAAATGACATTTCCCAGTGTATCAGATTTTAAGATGCATTTAAAAACTCTTTATCCAATAGCAAGTAAAACACAGAAATAAGTTTAGTGCCACATTTTCTATGGAAATATCCTAAGAAAAATATGTATATGAATATATAAGTAAATCATCATCTCAGCAGAATTCTTTTTCTTTCATACTTAAGGCGATATTTTCTTTTTCCTGTCAGGCCCTGCAAATGTTCCCTGAGTCATGTGGTTACAAAAATGTAAAATTACTCTCCTAAAAAGAACATTTTGCAATTCATCACTAGGGCTAAACCAGCTGCAGCTGTGAACAAGCATTATATTACAGGCAAATCTTTTATTTAGTTTGTGCCTTTAGCTCTGGAGACTTGGAACGTTCAGGATTTTCTCTTCCTTTCTCTGCTCCAAAGTCACTCACTGAATTTTCACTAGATAGTTTAATTTTGATTATGTTTGACAGAAGGAACTTTAACCCACACAATATGTAAAAATTTTTTTCATTTTAACAAGGGTTTTTACTCATGCCTTTATTGTCACAGTCATTGTATTGAATGGAACAGAATCCAGCATATCAGGGATGAGTTGTTATTGGTATTTAGGTGCCTTAGGCTTACTATCTGTTCAAATATTATGAAGAAATTAACTCTGATAAAGAAGATTTATGACTTTCTGAGAATGTTCACAGACTGTTTACATCTAGCATTAAGATCTCAGCGTAGGAATAAACTCTTCTAAGCTTGAAGTTTTAAATTAATTCCTCTGTTTGTCACAATGATATCTAATACCTTTAGGTGGCCACCCAGCAAAGTGTTGAAGCACGTGCTGAACTTCACACATGCACCTTTCGGAAAAGAAAATTTCAAGCAGGGGAAAAAAAAGAGATGCCCTTTAATGAATATGATCCATAATAGTTACTCACCATTGTCAATTGCCAGAAAGAGAGCCGTGTATGTGTCATTTTGAACATAGACAGATTCCCGATCCAGAGGAGCAGTGGTAATAATGGTACCATTGGTAGGGCTGATTTCTAGCCAGCCTGCTGGATCCTTGTAAATCGAATACCTAAATAAAAACATAGACGTTGTTAACAGATTATGTATCTAGACATAAAAGCATTACATTACTACAGAGAATATGTCTTTGTACTCACTGGCTTTCATGAGGTTGATGCTTAAAATACACATTTTAAAACATGTGCCTTCCCTTTGAGGTGGTTCAGTATTGTTAGCCTGATCTGACAGGCGGAGATACAGAGCAGTTTGAATCAATTTCTTTCAACACATACATCCCCCAAAAGCTTAGCACAGAAATCAATATTTAAAATATTTTGTAGGGTCTGTTTCCTACTGCTGTGTTATACACCTGAGTACCTGAACACTTGCCCTGGCCTTGGCATCAACACTGGTATTTACAGACTTCATGAATACTCTCCCAGGCCTTCTGTTTCCAGACTCAAAATTGTGGCTGGACTAGGAGTTATGGTTGTATGAGTGGCTTTTTTTTTTTTTTTCCTTTTTTTTTTCTTTTTTTTTTTGCAATTACATTTTGTACAAATGTAATAATTTGTGAGGTATGGTAACAGAAAGAGTGTTAGATTAGGGATTCACCAGGTATAACACAAACTGATTGTATGCAGACCCAGCTTCTGCACATGTGTTCTGCAGTCTGTGATCTGTAATTTCCTGCTGCTACTGATTCAAAGAGATGCTCAGAATCTTGGAATAATTCAATCACATACATGTTGTCTAAATAAGGATTTGAAAATGCTGTCTGTCAAGATCCCTCAATACAAAATTCTCTGTTGGGCTTTCTTTGCATTAATCAGTACAAATATTTAGACCATGTTACTGGAAATACTTAGAGAGACTGTAGAGTTTATGCGCTGAGAACTGCCCTGCTTGACTGAAGTAACAAACATAAGAATATTCATTATTAGGGCCTAATTATATAATCAGTTAAATGTATTAAGTAGTATAACAACAAGGAGCTGAATTAACTGGCACAAATTCCCTCTCCAATGAAAAGTGTGAATATTTAAAACCAAAGCTCCAAACATATAATCAATACTTAGTATGACAACCTGTTTATCTTTTTTGTAGTGAACTCTTATAGGTCATAAACAGCCATGCAATCTTCTATAGCCATTTTAAATTGTAAGTAATTGATACAAAACCTGTTATTATTTAATAAGCATGTGCCTAGCCTCTTAGTGGCATTCATCTGAAAGGTGTCCCATTAGAGAATGCTGCCAAAAATAATTTGTCAGTGAAACTGTTTCCTGAGGGGATAATCACAAATAACAGATTGTTAGGGGGCTAAAACCAAGTAAGTAAAATGAAATAAAATGGCAGTTGCTAGAATAGGAAAGAACAAATTGCAACCAACAAAGACAGTCATGGTCTCACTGAATGCTTGTCACAGAGGCTTGTGTTGGTCTCTTGTGCCACTGGAAAGAGGTAAAATAAGTTGTGATTCATTGCTAGATCCCTCTAGTAGACCGTTAAGGTATGGCCAATGCCATAGTTAACAAGACACCATGTGCAGCTGTCCCATCCAGCTGCCTCTTATCCGCACTCCTCACGTCAGACCTCTCAAGTCCCGTCTAACTTGTGCTTTTGAACTGCCCAGTTATTTTCATCAGATGGAGTCTGAGAACTTTGAATTTCTGCAGGGATCTCAGAAGAGCTGGGCAGAGCCACAGCTCCGGCCGGTCAGAAGCCATCAGCATCATTCATTATTCATGCAGAAGATCTTCCTGTGCACGAGCACAATGTCATTAAGATGACATTGTTAGAGAACATTGAATGAACTGAATGGACCTCATCTGCCCCTCAGACCACGAAATTCCCCTCCAACATCTGAAATAATGCCATGGGAAGATGTCATTAAGATGGGGTTTCTTTTTTCTTCCTACGTAAGTTAGGAGAGGTTAGAATGGACTTGGAGCCTTTGAATAATAAATTTTAGGCTTGGACACCGTACTATTCAACAGGAAGAAAACACAATTGTTAAAAAGGGAAAAGTTCTGTGCAAACCGGTTTCCTCATGCATAAATGGGGCAGTGCACGTACAAATATATGCAGAAAGACAGGCCAGAAACATTGACATCTTGTTCCCAGACCACAGATCAGGTACCCACCATAACTGCATTAGCTGGAGGCAGAGCAAGCCTTGAATTTATTTGTGCCTTAGAAAGAACAGGGCTCCAGAACCCCTGTGAATTTGCCAAGTGGCCCACAGGTCCATTTAAATAAACTATTCCATAGACTGACATTATACTTCAAAGATTGTTGAGGTACTCTTATTTAAGAAGTTTGATTGTCCAAAGAAAAGATTCTAAGTTCTGCCATTGAAAAATGAAATTGCTTTCAGCACAGAGCCTCCTTTTAACACATTGGAGTCACTTCTCACCAAAAAATCATCAGTTTCCTCAACATTTCTTTGGTGCATCTCCAGGGTGATATTATCCTCCAGAAGATGAGCATGGCTAATTTCAGAGGTGCTAACAGACAGCCCTGTCCACACAACTGCTGTTTTTTTATCAAGACCTTGCTTCAGGCTTGAAAAACGTGACCTCTTCAGGGCTGCTGAGCCAAACTCACTTTGCCAGAGTATGTAAGACCACACTGGTGTTCAGGCAGCCTGCTTCAGGATCAAAAATTTGTTTTATGAGCTGTTATTATATTAAAATAAAATACAGGACAAGTTTGGAACTCGGAACCTTTTGGAATTTATGAGAAACAGAGACAAACAGTAAAACCACTTGGCTTGCTCGTGCTTCCACTAAAGTCATTCAGAGTTTCACCACTGGCTTCCCCATGAGCAGAAATTATCCCTTAGAGAGTATGTGGAAAAGAATCAAAGGCAAACACCATTCCACAGTGAGACATTTTACAACATAACGTGTCCTTCCACTTAATAACCATTTCAACATTAATCAATACCTGAACTTAATCTCCCATAAAAATGAGTTGCTAGAATAGTAACAATGCAGATCATTATTTCATTTCATTTAATTTCACTTCACTTCTTTGTTTCTTTTTTTATTGTTGTTTTTACAACTCCACAATGAAGGTATGCACAAAAATATGAAACAAGGGCAGCCTGAACAATTCCTCATCTACTGTAAAACTGCAAATTCTCAATTAACCCTGAAACAATTTAAGAAGAATCAACACTTCTAAAGTAATGAGAATTTAAAATAGATTGTATTATCTTCCCTGATTGCTCTACAAAGCACTGTTGGCTGTGCAAATATAAAGCTGAATTGTATAACCTGTGATTTGGCACAGGATATTGTAAAAGTAGTACTTTGTCTTTCCCACCACAGTTTTTACTTATTGTAAAAGTTTATTGCAGTATGGTTAAGATGATTGTTCCTTGTGCAATTTTTTGAGGGCTCTGCTCACAAAGGGTTTAGAATAGACTCATTAACAAAAGCACTATAATAAACAGAATTATAGAATACAAAGAAGTTTCACTTCCTATTTCTAACTTTAGTGGGATCTGCTGATTGCACAGCAGTTTCGAAAATCAGACCATTTTTCTAGGTGGTTAAACAAGAACTTACATGCCTGCGTGTAGCTATGCAGTTTTGAAAATCATCATAAGTACACCAATACCTCTGTATGGGTGTATAAAGAACTGTGCTCTCTGGTGCGCCAATTACTGGTTAGTTTGGACTTATTCTATACAGCAATAGTGAAATTTTGCATTCCTTTGTGGAGTTTCTTTCTTTCTTTTCTTTTTTTTTTTTTTTACATTTTAAACCATGCCAATAACTTACTGATCCCAAGGGATTATACTGCAACAAGGCATGGGCAAGTGGGTTTAACTTATTAATCGTGACCTCCTTGCACTAGGTTCATGACCTTGTGCTATCTATAAGCCAGCTTTTGCAAAGGAAGCAGAACACAACCAGTTTCCTTAGACTGGAAAGCATCTGCTGTAAGGTTGAAGTGTACAACTTAAATAGAGACCCACAGATGGAGAGGCTGTAGATACAGAGAAGACACACAAATCAAAATATGCACTTGGACTATTTGGTGAAGAACTCAAGTAGCAAATACATGGAAATAATTTAAAATTTATAAATGGCATCTTCCCCTTCCTGTAGCATAGGAAAATTATTCTGAGAACACTTCCTGGGGTTGGTAGCAGACGTGTAGTGCCAGTGGCCAGCAGCTTGATTAGCACAGAAGAACCTTATACAGAGAAGTGGTTATAATGTGGATGCAAAAATCTAATCGGAGCCACAACCTTGCACTGGCCACAAAAGGAATTTCACAGCCAACAGCGCAGTATCACAGGGTGCCAGAGGAGAGCAGCTGGACATTCAGGCACAGGGTAAGATGCTGCTTTTGGCAAGGACTTCCTGAGCTTGGGAGATGCCAGACTTTTCCCATGTGGAGTCAAGTGGTCTTGGCCATTATGCTTTAACAGAAAGAGAAGGAAGGCAAAATGCAGCAGTGCCAAATCTGTGCTGAATCATACATCTGCACCGCTGTGATGTGTGGCATTGACAGGGATAAAGGTGAGCAATTTAGACAGGCTTGGCAGGGTTTTCAGCCTTGCACATCTGGAGACTGATCAAGTCATGTTGTGCAGAGACTGCCAATGGCCAGAAAGACACAATGAAGTAGTACAGTGATACTGGCCCCATGAATATATGTCTGATTCTGTAGTTGGGCTTTGTTCTGATGTGGTGAGGATGTATTTCTGCCCTGAAAAGCTTTTTAAAGTGTAAAACCTGTAAACCATTGTGAAAGGTCTGAGAATGTATAGCAATGAGGGTCAGAAAGTGTACCCAGATAGACAGAACAGAAAATGATAATTTGAATAACTTTCTAAAGATGCAGAAAGATATTTACTGGCATTTTCAAATTGCATAGGTGCTCATCTCTTTGTTTTAAATTATGTGTAAAATAGAGTTAAACCCAGATGAGTAAAAATTCATGTTTTCTGTGATACATACATAAATATACATATGTGTGTGTGTGCTTACTGGTCTTGGGTGAAACTGAAACTGTTAAAATATTGACAGTATCCATTTCGATAGTTTC